GTGCTCAGATACGACAGTTTAGATGTCACTCCAAACATCTAATATCCCAGACCCCTCCTTTAAGTGTAGGCATTGTACTTCCTATCTCCAGGACTCAAGTCTGGCTAACCAGTTCCTCTGAATCCCTTCACAAAATATTACCCTGCTCACACTCCAACAGATTTATACACCCTTCAAGTCATTCTGTTTTGCTCTATCCTTTCTAAATAACCGAACTACCTCAACAAACCTCTTCAGCCCTCTGACTAATACTTTTAGTAACTCCACATCTCCTAATTTCCACACTGTGAATTCTCTGCATAATATTTACACCGCACATTGTACTTAGACATGACATCTTCACTGCCTCCAGCCGCCTCCTTGCCACTATACTCTCATACATTCCCTTCTTTGCATTCATGGATAACGTTTCTTGTATCCACAGATATCTTAACCCTTTCAGGGTTTCAGACATACTAGTACGGCTTGCACACCAGTATCCATGACGTACTAGTACGCATAAATTCTAGCGCCTTCAAATCTAGCGAGAGAAAGCTGGTAGGCCTACATATGAAAGAATGGGTCTATATGGTCAGTGTGCGCAGTATAAAAAAAATCCTGCAGCACACAGTGCACAATGAGAAAAACAGAGACTTTGCACTATATTTTTGTATGGTATTTATTGTTGTATTCTAGTTTTCCTGGTCTCATTGTATAGAATGGAAGACATATTACAGAAATTGAGATGATTTTGACTGGTTTTACAAAGAAAAGTACCTTGAAATTGAGCTCAAAGTAGCAGAAATGTTCGATTTTTACCAAAGTTCAAAATTAAACAAATCATGCTAAGCATCCAATACACGTCAACTGGTGAGTCTAATATTCTTTCACAAGTGCGCCAATATTATTTATACCATTTCTACACTAATGCAGTAGTCTGCATAACAGTAAATCTTATTTTTTTTTTGTGAGAATAAAAATTCGAAGTGGAAAGCAAAAAAAATGTAAGAGGGGCCTAGGGACATGACTAATGAACAGAGAAAATTTTATTTTAGTGCCAGGAATGTCTTGTTTATTCTGGACCCTATTTGGAAATTTGCATCTTTTGAAATTTGTGTGAAATTGGCAAAATTGCTAAATTCTGTCCACTGTATTGGATAGTTGAAATCGGTAAATCGGTGGTTTCTTGTACTCATTCAATAGAAAAAATGGAGTTCTAGCAAAATAGTTATGATTTTTGTCGACTAGTACATTGGAATGGCCGAAAATAGGGTTCAAAGTGGGCAGAACCGCCGATGCGTAAACATCGTTGAGACACTAACTTCGCGAGAGCATAATTCCGTAAGTTTTCCATCAGATTTCATACTTTTGGTGTCATTATGATCGGGAAAAGATTCTCTATCTTTTCATAAGAAAAAATCATTTTTTTTTTTTTTAAATTTGGGGGACCCTGAGAACAAGTCTCTGAGAGGGCCTGTGGACCCTGAAAGGGTTAAAGCACCACTCACCTTTTTTCCTTCATCATTTCTATGGTTACCCTCATCCTTCATAAATCCATCTGCTGACAAGTCAACTCCCAAATATCTGAACACATTCACTTCTTCCATACTCCCTCTTTCCAATGTGATATCCAATTTTTCTTTATCTAAATCATTTGATACCCTCATCACCTTACTCTTCTCTATGTTAACTTTCAATTTTCTAACTTTACACACCCTCACAAACTCGTCCACTAAGCTTTGCAACTTTTCTTTAGTCTCTCCCAAAAATACAGTATCATCAGCAAAAAGTACCTGTGTCAACTCCCATTTTGTATTTGATTCCCCATAATTTAATCCCACCCCTCTCCCCAACACACTAGCATTTACTTCTTTTACAACCCATACCATGGGCAGGGCTTGAACCCATGGTCAGAGGGTTGTAAAACATCAGACCGATGTGTTAGCCACTCTGCCAGCTGGCTACAATAAAATTCATCCAACTGGGTATATTTATACAGCATAGGAAGGTTAGCATAGGCACTACTGTGCCTGCAAATGCAAGTTTTTACAACCCCATGTATAAGAACATAAGAAAGGAGGAACACTGCAGCAGGCCTGTTGGCCCATACTTGGCAGGTCCTTTACAATCCATCCCACTAACAAAACATTTGCCCAACCCAATTTTCAATGCCACCCAAGAAATTAGCTCTGATAACTCTATCTACTCTCATATGCAACTCCCACTCAAATCGAACCCCTCTCTTTCGTGTATTTATCCAACCTATATTTGCAAATACCCAAGGTTTTAGGCTCAATAACCCAACTAGGTAGACTGTTCCACTCATCAACTACCCTATTTCCAAACCAATACTTTCCTACATCCCTTCTAAATCTAAACTTATCCAATTTGAATCCAATCCTGCGGGTTCTCTCCTGGAGAGATATCCTCAAGACTTTACTAATATCCCCTTTATTACTACCCATCTTCCACTTATACACTTTGATCATGTCTCCCCTCATTCTTCGTCTAACAAGTGAATGTAATTTAAGGGTCTTCAATCTTTCTTCATAAGGAAGATTTCTAATGCTATGTGTTAATTTAGTCATTCTACGCTGAATGTTTTCTAACGAATTTATGTCCATTCTGTAATATGGAGACCAGAACTGAGCTGCATAATCTAGGTAAGGCCTTAATAAAGATGTATAAAGCTGAAGTATAACCGCTGGACTTCTGTTGCTTACACTTCTTGATATAAATCCCAGCAATCTATTTGCCTTATTACGCACGCTTAGGCACTGCTGTCTTGGGTTAAGGTTGCGCTTACAATAACCCCCAAATCCTTTTCGCATTCTATACGGCTAAGTTCAACATTATTAAGCTGGTAGGTGCTAGGGTTATGGACATTTCCGAGCTTTAGAATTTACATTTATCTACATCGAACTGCATCTGCCACTTTTCTGACCATGAATTGAGTTTGTCTAAATCCTTAACCATGGTAACACTACACATCCCTGTCTAAAACCTACTTTTACTGAGAATTAACCTCCTCCCTCCCTCCCTCCTACACACCCTAACCTGAGCCTCACTATCCTCATAAAAAAACTTTATAGCATGTAGTAACTTACTACCTATTCCATTCACTTGCAACATCTGCCACATTGCTCCTGTATCCACCCTATCATATGCCATTTCTAAATCCATAAATGCAATGAAAACATCCCTCTCTTTATATGCTTCAATTTAAACACTTTTCTACACATCCCTTACCCATTCTAAAACCTCCTTGTTCTTCTGCAATCCTGCTCTCTGTCTTACCTCTAATTCTATCCTTCCCTTTATATAAAGGAACTATACACTCTCTGCCAATCCCTAGGTACCTTCCCTTCTTTCATACATTTATTGAAACAAAAATGCTGTCATGATCCTGTCAGTTTCAGCTGCTTTACCCCTTTTCATTGTATGTAATGCCTTATGCACCTGTTACACCACATACTGTCTTCAAATGTAACATGTCCTCTTCATCCAACGTCCTCTCTTCTGCAGTGTATAAAAACCAGTTCTTCTTGCCCTTATAACTCTGTTGGTACCACTGCACTCCTATGCTTTTTTTTTTTTTTTCACTGAGGCAGTGTGACTTTAAAAGAAAAACAAAAGTTTTTATTTTTAAATTTGGTAATGTATACAGGAGAAAGGGTTACTAGCCCCTGGCTCCTGGCATTTTAGTCATCTCTTACGACACGCTTGGCTTACAGAGAAGAATTCTTTTCCACTTCCTCATGGAGAATTTTCCTTTTTGCCTCCATGAATAAAATTTTCCTTCACAGATATCACAATGTACCGCTCACCTTTTCCACCCCTTCTACTGTTCTATGATTTCCCTTGTCTTTCATAGACCCATCGGATGGGTCTATGAAAGATGAGGTGAATCATAGAATTGATGAGGGAAAAAGAGTGAGTGGTGCACTTAGGAGTCTGTGGAGACAAAGAACTTTGTCCTTGGAGGCAAAGAGGGGAATGTATGAGAGTATAGTTTTACCAACGCTCTTGTATGGGTGTGAGGCGTGGGTGGTGAATGTTGCAGCGGGGAGAAGGCTGGAGGCAGTGGAGATGTCATGTCTGAGGGCAATGTGTGGTGTGAATATAATGCAGAGAATTCGTAGTTTGGAAGTTAGGAGGAGGTGCGGGATTACCAAAACTGTTGTCCAGAGGCTGAGGAAGGGTTGTTGAGGTGGTTCGGACATGTAAGAGAATGAGCGAAACAGAATGACTTCAAGAGTGTATCAGTCTGTAGTGGAAGGAAGGCGGGGTAGGGGTCGGCCTAGGAAGGGTTGGAGGGAGGGGGTAAAGGAGGTTTTGTGTGCGAGGGCTTGGACTTCCAGCCAGGCTGCGTGAACGTGTTTGATAGGAGTGAAGGAGACAAATGGTTTTTAATACTTGACGTGCTGTTGGAGTGTGAGCAAAGTAACATTTATGAAGGGATTCAGGGAAACCGGCAGGCCGGACTTGAGTCCTGGAGATGGGAAGTACAGTGCCTGCACTCTGAAGGAGGGGTGTTAATGTTGCAGTTTAAAAACTGTAGTGTAAAGCACCCTTCTGGCAAGACAGTGATGGAGTGAATGATGGTGAAAGTTTTTCTTTTTCGGGCCACCCTGCCTTGGTGGGAATCGGCCGGTGTGATAATAAAAAAAAATATTTACTTCTCCAGCACTCTCTCCCTCCTCCCAATCTGATATCCAGTCTTTCATTTAATTTCCTTCTTTTACATGCACTCACAGATTCCTTCAACCTCTGCAACCTCTCTTCAGAATCTGGGGCAAGAATTGTGTTATCGGCAAAGAGCATCTGTGACAACTCCCACTTTGTATCTAATTCATTATCTTTTAATCCTATATCTCAAACATCTGTATCCAGTATTCGTAACACTTTTGTGATGGATACTGTACCTTATTCAAGAAATAAATGTGCAGTATTATAAAAATAAGTATAGTCTGATTTAAGTTATTATAGGCCATTAAGAAGTTAATTTGAATGCTTTACAGGAGCATATGCAGATTGGTTGAACTACCATCAAGACCACATGCACCATGTGATCCCTCTAATGGTGGAAGGGTTGGTCAATGCTTCACTGGTTGGAGCAGCATCACAAGCCCTTCGTGATTTAACACTTGAGTGCCCCCTCACCATTTCCCCCTTTTCACAGCCCATACTGACTAGTTGCCAAGTAAGTGCCTTTTAAGTTAGTGTTTTCTTGATAAACTTTTGAAAATAAAATGAGGTAGTTTTAAGATATGAAAGCCCTGTTTGTGGTTCCTTTAAAAGAATAGAAAAAAGCTAAATTCTAAGGTTATCCCTCTGTGGGATACTGTCAGTTTGTTGAAAGAGGCTTTAGGAAGGGTAGGGAGTGTGTAGACCAAGTGTTTACAATGAAATGTATAGGTGAACAGTATTTAGATAAGGGTAAAGAAGTTTTTGTTGCATTTATGGATTTGGAAAAGGCATATGACAGGGTACATAGGGGGGCATTGTGGCAGATGTTGCAAATGTATGGAATAGGCAGTAGGTTACTGAAATCAGTGAAGAGTTTTTATGAGGATAGTGAGGCTCAGGTTAGATTATTTCCCAGTGAGAGTGAGTGTTAGACAGGGATATGTGATGTCACCATGGTTGTTTAACATTTATGGATGGGTTTGTAAGAGATGTGAATGCTCAGGTGTTAACAAGAGGTGTGGTATTGGAAGAATCTAACACAGAGTTGGAGTTGTCACAATAGCTTTTTGCTGATGACACTGTGCTTTTGGGAGATTCTGAAGAGAAGTTGCAAGGGTTGGTGGATGAGTTTGGTAGGAAGGCAGGAAATTGAAAGTGAACATAGGAAAGAGTAAGGTGATGAGGATAACAAAAAATTTAGATATTGAAAGATTGGATAACGGATTGGAGGGAGGGAGTATGGAGGAAGTGAATGTATTCAGATATTTGGAAGTGGACTTGTCATTAGATGATGATCTATGAAAGACAAGGTGAATCATAGAATTGATGAGAGGAAAAAGGTGAGCAGTGCACTGAGGAGTCTGTGGAGACTGAAGAACATTATCCATGGAAGCAAAGAGGGGAATGTATGAGAGTATAGTTATACCAGCGCTCTTATATGGATGGTGAATGTTGCAACAAGGAGAATGCTGGAGGCAGTGGAGATGTTGTATCTGAGGGCAATGTGCAGTATGAATAAAATGCAGAGAATCTGTAGTTTGGAAAGTGGGAGGTGTGAGGTTACTAAAAGTATTATCCAGAGGACTGAGGAAGGGTTGTTGAGGTGGTTCGGACATTTAGAGAGGATGGAACTATATAGAATGACATGGAGAACATGTAAGTCTGTAGTGGAAGGAAGGCAGGGTAGGGGTCATCCTAGGGAAGGTTGGAGGGAGGGGTAAAGGAGGTTTTGTGTGTTTGGGCCTTGGACTTCTAGCAAGTGTGCGTGAGCATGTTGAATAAGAATGAGTGAAGACAAATGGTTTTTATGATGTATGCTGTTGGAGTGTGAGCAGGGTAACATTTATGAAGGGATTCTGAGAAACTGGTTAACTGGACTTGAGTTGTAGAGGTGGGAAGTACAGTGCCTACACTGGCAGTTTTTTGACTGTAGTGTAGGCACGCCTAGCATATGCTCGTTGCTCCCTTGTTGTTTCCAGATTGAGTTTGGCTAACTCTAGGGCCAATGAAGCAGACTCGCCCATAGACAAACCCGATGCACCTGTTGCTTCACAAGACTGCTGGTCTTGCTCTGGTGTTGTCCCTCCCGTATTATGAAGGAACCTAAGCAGAGATCTGCGATTAACAGCCCCTGTAATGGGAGACATGTCAATTTGGTGCACCATAGTTGCTTCAGCTTTCAACTTTGTACGAATAATGTAACGAAGCTGTGCAGTAGTGAGAGTGTTTTGATACTCTGTACCAATAGAACGATCAATTCACTAGCAACGCTGTAGAGAGAGTTTGGGCAGATTTAATAGAGTGAACTCAGACCCCAATCGAGTGACTCATGTAGGTGGCATTAACCCCAACGTAACACGCTGTTTGCAGTACAGTACAACTGCGGGATACACATACACACAATAGCAAGGCTGACACACAATAGCGAAGTGATTGCAGGGCTGACATGCAATAATGGAAGCAATGGCAAAGTTGACACGCAATGCTGAGCGATAGCAAGGCCATCTGAATGATACTAAGACTAGTTTTGGCTCCTCAGTGATACAAAGACCAGCTCCAGCTCCTGGACAGGGCTTCCCATATTATGCACCCAGGTAATAATGGCCTGTTGACCTGGTTGTAATGGGACTTGGAACAAAAATAAAAACAGCAGTAGTCTTTAAATTGTATTTTCCTTCAAGTATGAATTTTTTGTTTTTTTAACAAGTCGGCCGTCTCCCACCGAGGCAGGGTGACCCAAAAAAGAAAGAAAATCCCCAAAAAGAAAATACTTTCATCATCATTCAACACTTTCACCTCACTCACACATAATCACTGTTTTTCAGAGGTGCCCAGAACACAACAGTTTAGTGGCATATACCTATAAAGATACACAACATATCCCTCCAAACTGCTAATATCCCGAACCCCTCCTTTAGAGTGCAGGCATTGTACTTCCCATTCAAGTATGAATATAGGTATATAAACATATGTACACTATGTACAAGAGTTTAAAAAGTAAGTGTACTATGGTAATCAAAGGCAAAGACCAAAGCCAGAGAGAGAGAGAACTGTGAGCAACCAGTGGCTGCATGAGTCTGGCAAGAGCTGACAATGAGTGATACCACATCACCTCAGCAGTTGTCAGACCTACCTTGTGATTGGTCAGTGAACCAAGGTACTGAGTTAATGATGGGTCCCCATAAAATCGTTAAACCCTTAGCACCCAGTTCACTGGTTGGGAGGCATCCTATATGGGAGTGTGTATATTCGCCGAATAAAGTGTAATGTACTCTTTGCATGCCACAGTAGGCACGCCTCTGGCAAGACAGTGATGGTGTGAATGATTAAAAAAAAAACTTTGTATATTTGTTTATGATATTAGATATGTTTCAAGTTGTTTTACCTGAAACATGGGGAGATGCATAGCATGTGATGAGACAGCAGTTTACAAATTTCATGGGCCAGCATAACCTGAACCAGCATGCTTTTAGAGCAGAATGATCATGCCTGTCACAAATGCTGAATCATTATTATAGAATTACAGAGGCGTTGGAAGACGACCAAAATGCAGATCTGATTACACAGGTTTTGCAAAGGCATTTGACAAATGCAATCATGGAGTGATAGCTCACAAAATGAGGGCCATGGGCATTATGGGGAAGGTAGGCAGATAAATTTTTGGGTTCCTGACACAGAACACAAAAAGTAGTAGTAAACAGAGCAAGATCCAGCATCTGGCAAGACAGTGATGGAGTGAATGATGATGAAAGTGTTTTTTCTTAGTGGGAAACAGCCAGTATGTTAAATAAATAAAATAAAAAAAAACTTTGTGTGTTTGTTTATGATAATAGGATGTGTTTCAAGTTATTTTACCTGAAACAAGGGGAGATGCATAACATGTGATGAGACAGCATATTACAAATTTCATGGACCAGCATAACCTGAACCAGCATGGTTCTAGAGCAGGATTATCATGCCTGTCACAACTGTTGAATCATTATGACAGAATTACAGAGGCATTGGAAGATGACTAAAATGCAGATGTGATTTACACAGATTTTGCAAGTGTTTGACAGTTGTGATCATGGAGTGATAGCACACAAAATGAGGGCCATGGGCATTATGGGAAAGTAGGCAGATGGATTTTTGGGTTCCTGATACACAGAACACACAAAGCAGTAGTAAACAGCAAGATCCAGCAGTAACGAGGTAAAAAGCTCAATGCCTCAAGGCAGTGTCCTGGCACCTCTGCTGTTTCTCATCCTCATAGCAGACATAGATAGAAACACCCATCACAGTTTTGTATCATCATTTGCAGATGACACTAAAATAAGCATGAAAGTCACTATGGTAGAGGACACTGAAAAATAACAGGAAGACATAAGCAGGGTTATCCATTGGGCAGTGGAGAACATAATGACATTCATTGGTGATAAGTTCCAACCTCTTAGGTGTGGAAATAATGAAGACCTCAAAAGGAACACTGTACAGTGGACCTCCAGATTACGTAATTAATCCATTCCAGAGAGAGTGACTTACTCCGAATTAATTTTCCCCATGAGAAATAGTGGAAATCCAATTAATGTTTCAGACACCCAAAAGTATTAAAAAATAATTTTTTTTACATGAAATATACATTTAACTACACAGAAAACAATAAGACATCCAGAATAAAACAATAAAATGACACTACCTTCATGTATGGAAGATGGGAGAAGGGGAGAGGATGGAGGAGTTACTTTTGTTTGGAAGGGGAATCCCCTTCAATAAAGACTTCAGGTACCCAGTCCTTTTCCAGGGTTACTTCCCTTCTTTGTTTTTTAATGCCACTAGGTCCAGCTTGAGAGTCACTGGACCCCTGTCGCCCAAAAAAAGTGTTCCAGAGAGGTCTATTTCTGGCGTATGTTAGGAATTGTGTTGGGAGACAGGACAAGATAGTCCTTCAATATGGCATTAGTATCAACTCTACGGCTTATTTATCTAGCACAATTCATCTAATATGACATAATAAACCATATTAATAGCATAGAAACATGATATATACTCTAGAATGAATAAAATATGGCATTAAGAATGTCACGAGTGGTGGTGCATTGTTTGTCGTTGGGAGTCTAAGGGCCACTGAAAGATAAGCCTTACATAGTTTCGGTGCAGGTGGTAGCAGAGACAGCAGTGTCAGTAGCCCTATATACCTCTAACACTGGAGGAGTGAGTTTCGTGCTGTCCTTTTTCTATCGATTAATCACGTAACTTACTTGCTACACTTTATCGCTGGCTGGCTCTGTAGCCTCTATAGACTCCTGCTGCTTTAGTATCGTACATATTGCAGAATCACTGAAAAAGGCACATTCTCCCCTTGCTCTCAGCCCTTTACCAAAGGGCTGGCTGGCACTTGGAACTTCCTTTGGGGTTCATGGTGGCTTATTTAGCAGTTACAAGCACTTAAAAGAATGGAATAATACAAAATGTACCGTATGAATGCGTGGGATCGTCCTCACAGGCTGATAAACAATGACACTGGCTGTACATGGA